GGAGAGAGGCCGACCTGGGTGAGGCCCAGGTAGGACAATGCCCCCAGGAGCCCTGCTCCCCCAGTACCGGAGGACCACCAGGAGATCACAGCCCTGAGGAGGAGAACACAGTAGCACTAAGAAGGCTTAAAGTGTGGTAGAAACATACAATGGAATACTACTCAGCTATAAAAAAGATGAAACCTGTCACTTGAATGACATAAATGGATATTATGCTTAAAGAAATAAGTTAGATGTGTAAGGCAAACACAGTATGATTTCACTCATGTGTATATAGAGAAAACAAACAAATCAACTAAATGAAACAAAAATTAATTTTTAGATTATAAGACCAAACGAATGGCTACCAGAAGGGGAGAAAAAGGGTAAATTGGGTAATGGGAGACAAATGTTATGGTGAAGGATAGAATTGAACTTTTACTGGTGAACTTAATACAGTACAGTCATTGATTTAAAACTGTGTACCCCTGAAACATACCATGTTAACATACAATGTTAAAAAAAGAGAAGGACCTAAAGCTAGTGAGATGTCACTCCCCCACCCCCTGATTCCCCGCTGTGCTGCCTGCTTACCTTGGGTAGAAGGCGGTGAGTGACAAGAAGGTGACTTCTCCCAGGCCTGATGAGATGCTAGCTAGGACCACACCTGGGGGGGGGAGGGTGACAAGCACGGCAGACCTTCCCCAAGAGCCCCATCCCCACTGCATCAGAGGGACTGAAAACCGACCCTCTGGGCAGACTGGGCTCCAGATCTCAAGCAGAGCCACCCCCTTCCTCCACACATCCTCTCACAGGGAACGGTGTCTCCTACCCCAGATGGAGGAGCGCAAACTCCTCCTTAACACCCCCTCTGTTCCCACCACGGAGTCTTGGTGAGTTCATTTCAATCTCCATCTAAACCATCCATCTCCTCCCCCTCCCTTGCAAATTGGCCTCAGGTCCCATTTCTTTTACTTGTGACAGCCTAAGCAGCTTTCTGAAGATTATAAGAATCCCTCTCTTGTGGGAAGGGGGAGACTACCTCCACAAATGCTCTGTGGTGGCTTCTCTTCGCCTCCCCCCAGCACAAAGCCTCACACTTACCACACAGACTGATGGTCACAGAATGGGACCAGGCAACCAGGATGAAGCTGCCAGCTGCAGAAACCCCGCTAACAAAAACTCGGGGGCTGAGGGGGTAGGGGGGGAGGGAAGTCAGCGTCCATACTCAGCTTCTCAGCCCTCCTGGGCTCCCCACTCTCAAATCACCCCCGCCCAGACCTGTAGGGCAGCAGGTGAAGACCAAGAGGAGCCAGCAGTTTGATGACAAGCGTAGGGAGGATGTCGGCCAGGAGCACTGCCTGGAAAAGATGAGAGTGGGACTCCAGACTTCCCAGGGGAAGACCGATCTACAGGACCGCCCACCACCAAGCTCTGAAGCCAGACAGAACTGGATCAAGCTCTGCCATCACTCAGCTGTGAATCAAGGCGTTCACATTCTTTGAAAGTCTTTCGTTTCCTCACCTGGGGAGATAGGGGGCAACAACAGGGCCAAGTTCACAGCACTGTTGTGGAAACTAAATGAATTAATGGCTGCTGCACGCAGCAAGAGCTCAGAGAATGAAGGTCTGAGCTACAATCATGCCAGTCCCAGCTAGTGCTGAGAGGAAGGTGGGATCTAGACCCACAGGACCTGGGTTGGGGGCGGACCAGGTGTGTACTCACAGCTGTGGACACAGAGTTGCAGTCAAATCGAGACGAACTATTGTGGGGTGTGGGCGTTGGGCTTGGGTTTACCTGATGGGAGAGAAGCGTCTTTCACCCAGGAAGGCAGAAGGGGAGACATCCCAGGGCTGGCGGCAGCTCTGCTCACAGCAGCAGCTCTGCAGCCCCCCCAGCTCTGCAGCCCCCAGCTCTGCTCTAACTTGAAGGACACCTTGGGCTTGGGCAAGGCCTGGCTTCCTGGGATCTCAGCTTTGCTACCTACATGTGGGGTGGGGCGGTTTTCCTAGAAGTCTCAAACTAATGGGCCAGGCTAATGAGAGTTCTAAAAGTAAACTTTATTTGAGTAATACATTCTAGGAACTTCCTATTAAAATTAGGGGCTTCCAGAAAGTCTGATCTTGGACCAAATTATGGTCCATACCTTGGATGAGGCATGTGCCTCCACTCACCATAGGTAAGTGGTTTTTAACCAACGGTGATTCTCCTCCACAGGAAACTTTTGGCACTGGAGAAATTCTTGGTTACAACAGCTGGAGCGTGGAGGATTTGCTATTGGTAATAAGTTTACAAACTGGCACCAACTGATTTGGGGGTTTGGGAGATGAGTAACTTTAGGTGCCTTGCCCCACCCCTTGGCCACCCCATTCAGATAATTTGACAAGGGGATCACTGCCCCAGGGTGAGTCCCTTAGCATCCCACAGCCTACACACGGTAGTAGAGAAGGTTACTTACATGGCTCTGGTTCCCTGGTGCCCTGTGGTGGCTAAGGATGTCATGGGCAGCACTGAGCATCACTACATAGGAGAAGTTGTTGCAAAGGCCC